GGCTGGACTCGAACCGCTGTTGCTCAGAGCTCAAACTCTTGAGCGAGCTCTTAACCAACTGAGCCACTCGGCCGGCCCCAACTTTCACTTTTTCACTTGAGGCACTTTACCATTCTCGTTGGCATATCTGAATTGCCAGCATCACTACTCTTGTGCTTTGGGACCATTATGAAGTAAAATAAGGGTTACTTGACACAAGCACTGTGATACGGCGACAGTCAATCTGATAGGTCTGATAACCGAGATGGCCACTAAGTGGCTAATGGGCAGGAGCGTATACAGTGTAGGATATACTGGACAAAGGGATGATTCACGTCCCGGGCTGGATGAGTGGGATGGCACGAGATTTCATCAGGCTACTCAGAATGGTGCGTAATTTAAAACTTATGAATTGTTTATTTCTGGAATTTTCCATTTAATATTTTTGGACCATGATTGATTGTGGTAACTGAAACCACAGAAGGCAAAAACGCAGATAAGGGGGAACTACTATACTTCTGTTGGATTGCTAGGTAATAATATGGTGATCTGTGTAACTTCTCAGATCTAAAGCTTGAGTAGGCTGATTTTATTCGTTAGTTATTGCTGCATAATCTACCCCAACACTGAGTAGCTTAAAACACCCATCATTTATTATTATTCACACATCTGTAGACCAGCAGGGTTCAGCTGGTCTAGACTGGGCTTGGCAGGGCAGCTCAGCTCTTCCCTGTGGATCTGCCGGTAGCTGCAGTGACTCTGTTGGCCATGTTCTTGATCATCCCTGGACCCACGGCCTCTCATGGCCTCTTCCTGTAGCGATGGTAGAAGCGTAAGAGAGCAAGGCCTCTTCAGGCCTAAGCTTGGACCTGTAATCCCCTCACTTCTGCCTCATTCTGTTAGCTAAAGCGAGTCATTTGGCCCAATCTGAAAGTCAGGGGTGGAGAAATATACGCTGTCCCTTTTGTGGGATGAATTGCCAAATCACAGAGCAAAGAGTGTGGATACAGGGAGGGGTGAAGAATTGAAGGCAGTAATACAATCCTTCACATTGATGTATTCTGTTTAACTGAAAAAGGCAAGGTTCTCTGAGCACAAAGGCACGTATAGGTCCTTATTGGCGACTTATTTCTTGGTATAATTGGCTTTATATAGGCCTAGTAGTTGAAACTTAAGAAAGAGAGCAGAGGGGAACATATACAGTGATGAAGCCCTAAGCCTTGGGATTCACTCTTTATTCAGCAAACATTTATTGTGCACCTACTATCCTTGTATAGACAGCACTTTATCAGTGAGATATTGTGACTAGGTTAAAAAGGAAAAAGAAAATTCTTCAAAGGAGACAAAATGATCACCCAAAGAGGTAAAAGGACAATTAGGTGAGAGCAGAAGCCGAAAGAACAGAGGATTTCAAAAAAGAAAGTAATTACCTGCAACTGAGAGGCCAGAGAGTCCAGGAATTGAGATAAGCCTGAGGGCTCCATAGGGTTCATGAAGCCACATGACAATAATGGTACTTATGGGAATCAAATAAATCAGTGAAGCGAGACTCTAAAATGCCTGTAATTAGTAAGTCTCAGAACACAAGTCATTCTGTACTTTTCCCAAGAAACTGTAATAGTGTCAAGGAATCAGTTCTCTTTGGTTCTTTTTTTTTTTTTAGGACTGGGTTTTCGGGAAGTCATGGTGTGTCGTTCTAATGTGGCAACACTGCTGCCTGGAATAAGCTTCTTAGCCGATTAATCCATTGAGGCTCATTAGCCCCTAGGGTCTGCTGTAAAAATCACAACTGTTGGTTTTGTTTGTTTTTAGTAATTTTAATTGCTGTGCTAATCAGTTAGTAGCTAATTTGGTGATGAAGAGCACGGGAGGCAGAGGTGTAATTCCTGTTCTCAGCTCTGCTCAATGGGCAAGTTGGAATTAATTGATGTTTTTGGTGTTTGTAAGGTGCACTTAAAGGCCAAGGCCTTAGGTGAATTTCCCATTAGGAAAGGAAAGAGCTGAATTTTCCCACCTGCATTGCCAATGTCCTTGGCCCAGGCCTAATGCCCTCCAGGAGCCAAGCATCCTGCACTTGGAGTCAGACAAGATCAGCCGACTTGTAAATGTCCTGCAGTACAGGGACGCTGGGCTGTGGTTTGAGTGGCATTAGTTTGGGAAGCGTGTGTGTTTCAAGTTTTCCTTTTCTAGATGGCCTAATGGCTCCATGTGAAAGTTACAGGGTGCCTTTTGCTTAATGTATTGATAGTTTAGATTTCTTTTGTAACTTCTTACTAACTTTGTAGTCTAGGCACAGAGCAGAGGGAAATTAAGCTTATTCATTCAACAAATATTTACTGATGCCTGATGTAGGAATTTCTTATGCATTATCTGATCATCATAACAATCTGAGAACTAAATTCCCTGTGAGTTAAATTTTAATTTTATGGAAGGCTGTCTACATCTTCTTTTAGCCCTAATGAGAAAGTGATGGTTGATTTAGTTCTCATAGCAGGTGCCCCCAGGTACTCAGTAGCAGCTTCTGCAGACAGAGCATTATCTACCAAGTGGCTATGCTCCAGTTACAATCCAGAGTTTATAAATGGAAGACTTAATCTTAGACGATGGCCATTAAGTGTCTCCCCTTTTTAGACTCCTTATATATTCTTTTTTCATTGTTTTATTATTATTATTATACAAGTTAATACATTCTCATTATTTTAAAAAATGTTAAATGACAAGGAAGTATATAAGGTAAAAAGTAGAAATCCCTCTCTTTTCCAAAATTGGAGTTAAAATATATCCTTGAGTGTCCCATAATTTATATTCGATGTTTTGGGCATTTTTTTACATTTCACTTTTGAAATACAGAGGGTGCCAAAAAATGCATACACATTTTAAGAAAGGAAAAATACTATTAAAATTGTAATGCTCTATATATACCGATAACAAAAAATGAATACAAGTCACATTTGACTTCTGCAATTACAAGAGGTAGGTGCTCAAAGTGGTGACCATCAGCGTCCAGACACTTCTGATTATGGCGAACTACTGCTTAAGCAATGTTGACCAAAGTGTCTACTTGTGTACATTTTTTTG